CCTGTGATCCTAGCACTCTGGGAGGCCAAGGCGGGGAGAATCACTTGAGGTCAGGAGTTCAAGACCAGCCTGAGCAAGAGTGATACCCCTGTCTCTACTAAAAATAGAAAGAAATTAGCTGGACAACTAAAAAAAAAAATATATATATATAGCTGGGCTTGTAGTCCCAGGTAATTGGGAGGCTGAGGCAAGAGGATTGCTTGAGCCCAGGAATTTGAGGTTGCTGTGAGCTAGGCTGATGCCATGGTACTCTAGCCTGGGCAACAGAGTAGTGACACTCTGTCTCAAAAAAAAAAAGAAAAAGTTTACTTTAAAGAAATGTACGTTGAATAACATTAGCCAACCTTTCAACTTTTTAGCATTCTTCTGTTTTGAAAATTTCTGGGTTATTCTATTTGTGACTTGTTTCTTGAAACCCTCTCCTTTATTTCACAATTACTGTTTTCATCTCTTGCATTGCTATTGCTGGTTTCTCAAACTGATCTCTCTGCCTCACATCTGTCTCTTTCCCTGCACACTCAGTTCATCCTCCATACTAAAGCCCACATCAGATCACATCCTACTCCTCTGCTCAGTATCCTTTAGTGGCTCCTCTTCACAGAACAAAAGTCACAACTGATTGGAAGATGGAGGCCTGAGAGAGGGAGGAGTCAGTGAGGACCCCTTGCAACCAGGTGAACTGAGGGGATGGCGAGGTCCTGAACAAAAACATCAAAGGTAAGCAGATGAATAGCCCCTGGAGGGAAACGATGAGCTCAAACATAATGAATTGGAGGCTTACAAAACTGGGTGCAGGATCCAGGTCTAAATATCTAATCAAAGAGTCCACATGTGGAACGATGGATAGGTCGGGAAGAGCAGTGAACACCTCAGGGGAGACTGATTCTGCAGAACAGGAGGTGGGATTTTCACCAGGTAATCTGACCCTGAAAGAAGTTATCCCCAGGTATAGTTGATAGCATGTGAAAAGTCCAATCAATGCAGCAAATCTTAGTTGTGCTGCAGTAACTGAGTGCCCTACCCCTCACCTCTTCCACGTGCATTTAGCACTAGTCAGGACCTGCAGCTGGAGGGGCCACCCAGGAGCCACAGCGACTCCCAGTGTCCTGCAAAGCTGTGTGGCCTGCCTAGTCCACCACAGACTCCAGGGCTGGAACTTTCCCCCATTAGAGTCTCTAATAGCCAGGAGTCAGCAGAAGATACCACAAACCAACGCCAAACCCTCAGCTCCTTCCCAGCTCTTTAGAGCTGAGAAAAAGACACTGTCCCCTCTACTCTACTGTGTGGGCAAGGGCAGGGGCCTGAGGGCCTTCTGTGGGCCTTGCCCTCTCAGCACCATTCCCTTTTAGATCAAAAGTCTCATTTTTCAATCTGTCTTCAGTAAGCTCTCCAACCCTTTATTCTTAAACCCAGAATAGCTCTTTTTCAGTCTTTATTATATGTTACTAAATGGGGGAGGGTAAGTGAAGCAGGTTACAACAGAATATGTATAGTATGCTCCTGTTTTAGTATAAGCAATATTTATTTCTATGTTTATATAAGCACATTTGAATATATATTCATGAAAAATAACCTAGAAGGAAGTGTGCCAAAATGTTAACAGCTGGGCACAGTGGCGTGCACATGTAACGCTAGCCACTTGGGAGTCTGAGGCAGGAGGATCACCTGAGCCCAGGAGCTCAGGACCAGCCTGGGCAACATAGCCAGACCCTGCCTCCACCCCCCCCCAAAAAAAAGGAAAGAAAGAAAAGAATGAGATTATAGGTAGTTTCATGTTCTTTGCATTTTTCTATGTTGTATGATTTTTAAATGGGTATATATATATATTAATTTTGTGACAAGGGGCAAATCCCCCAACATCCCTTTTTATTCAAAAATAGAAAACAGTTTCCACTTCCAGTATGTAGGAATAATCTGTTAGGAGAGCAAACTCTCTGCATATAGATAACTATAAACTTTGTGGAAAGTATAAAAAGAAAAAAAGAAAGAAAGTTGCAAATTCTGGAGAATGAGAAGGGAAAAAAACAGGCAGATTTTAGATGGGAGCTGAAAGTGGGAAGGACTGGCATGAGCTGAGTTTCCCTTTCTGGTCTAAGTACAGACATTACTGTTGCAGCATCACACATGACAACTAAAATTCTAATAGAAAATCTGCCATCATTCTGGCCTAAAGATTCAGAATCCAGAGTAACTACAGACACTTGGACTATGGTGGGGGAATCCTAGAAAAGGAAGAGGCAGAACAGGAAAGCCCCACATCCCGTGCATAAATTCTGCCAAGGTCTTTGGCTGATCCCTTTGCCCTTGAACCATGCATGCTGGGGCAGACTAGAATCTCCTTACAGCTAAGGCTAAAAGATTTGAACTGATAATTGAGCTGATGTCTACCATAGGTGAGACAGAGTTTGCAGTGTGAGAGTAAACAAGTTAGTTCCTTGCTAAAAACAAAGAAAAAAATCAACACTTTTTGGAAGCATATACTAGAATCTAGAGTCTCCACAAACTAGCAATTACTATATCCAACATACACTCAGAAATTAGTTGACATACCAAAAACAACAAATAAAAAATTAAAAAGGACAATAGCCTCATCATTTTGAAAATTCAGTCAGCTCGATTTCAACCCTGAGATGACCCAGATGTTGGAATGATCAGACAAGGTCTTTAAAGTAGTTATTGTAACTGTGGTCAATGAGATAAAGAATAATATGCCTATAATGCATGGGGAAAAGAAGGAAATACCAAGAGAGGAAATAGGAATAAAGAATTAACCAAATTATAGAACTGAAAAATACAGAATTGGGGGTGGGGGGAACAACATTGAATGAACTTAACAGCAGAATGGAAAAGATAAAGAAAAGAGACAGTGAATGTAAAGATAAATCAATAGAAATTCTCCAATATGAACAAGAGGGAGAACAAAGATTGGAAAAAATAAAATGAACAGAGCTCAAGGGCTCTGTGGGACAGTATCAAAAGATCAAACACACAGGTAATTGTCCTAGGAGAGATGAGTACAGGAAAAAAAAATTAAATAGTGCCAAAAACTTTCAAAAATTTGGTGAACCCCGAACAAAATAAATATGAAAAAAACTATGCTTGATACATCATAACCAAATGGATGAAAACCAAGGATAAAAAGTAAATCTTGCTAGTAGCCAGAGAAACAAAATATTATATACAGGAGAATAATGATTCAAATGATCATGATCTTTTGTCAGAAACCATCTCTAGTTTCCCAGCATGACATCATGCCTAAAATAAACACCATAGATGGCCACTGCTTTACCTTCCTGCACTGGGATTATTGCTGATATTATGGAGTCTTTGTTGGGTTTTGGGTTTTTAAAAAATATATCATTATCCTTTTTTTTTTTTTTTATTGAGAGAGAGTCTCACTCTGTTGCCTGGGCTAGAGTGAGTGCCATGGCGTCAGCCAAGCTCACACTCACCTCAAACTCCTGGGCTCAAGCGATCCTTCTGCCTCAGCCTCCCAAGTACCTGGGACTACAGGTATGCACCACCATGCCTGGCTAATTTTTTATATATTTTTAGTTGTCCAGCTAATTTTTTTCTGTTTTTGGAAGAGACGAGGTCTCACTCTTGCTCAGGCTGGTCTCGAACTCTTGAGCTCAAACGATTCTCCCACCTCGGCCTCCCAGAGTGCCAGGATTACAAGTGTGAGCCACTTCGCCTGGCCTGTGTTTTGTTTTTTTACCCAAAGCTAGGAAGTGGCCGTGCCACCAAAACTCTTCAGATTCCCATGGGGCAATACCACTTTCATGGGTTAAGTGATTCCCCCAAAATATATCTCTAGGTACTAAACCCCAGAACCTGTGAATGTGACATTATTTGTTAAAAGGATCTTTGCAGATGTAATTAAGCTGAAGATGTAGAGATGAGATCATCCTAGGGCCCTAAATCCAATAACCGGTGGCCTTATAAGAGACAGGCAGAAGGAGATTTGGGACACAGACACAAAGGGGAGGAGGCCATGTGGAGGCAGAGATTGGATTCATGCAGCCCCAAGACAAAGAATGTCTGAAGCCACCAGAAGCTGAAAAAGGCAAGAAATAGTGATGATTAATTTTGTGTTAACTTGGCTGAGCCACAGGATGCCTAGATATTTGTTCATTATTCCACTTGTTTCTCTGAGGGTGGACTTTGAGCAAAAAAGACTGCCCCCCATAATGGGTGGGTTCATCTAGTCAGTTAAAGGCCTAAATAGAAAAAAAATGGCCTCCCTGAACCAGAGGGAATTCTTTGGCAGGCTGCCTTTGGCCTTTTTCTGCATTATCGTCTCTTCCTGGTTTTTACTGCAGACTACCTTCAGACTAAAACTAAAACATCACCTTTTCTGGTTCTGGAGCCTGCTGGCCCACCCTACAGATTTTGGACTTTCCAGTCTCCATAATTATGTAAGCCAATTCTTTTTTTTTTTTTAAGGTGAAAAATGTACATATTTAGAATTAGCCAGTTGGACTCAATTTAGATGATCCCAATTTCGTTGGCAACGTCCGGTCCAAAGCATTGTAGTCAGAGCCAGTCAAACATATGCCTCCTTCTCTCCACCAGGCCTGATCAGGGTGTTGACCTTGGCCACATCCATGTCATAGAGCTTCTTCACAGCCTGTTTGATCTGGTGCTTGTTGGCTTTTTGACATCCACAATGAACACAAGTGTGTTGTTGTCTTCTATCTTCTTCATGGCAGACTCAATGGTCAAGGGGAACTTGATGATGACATAGTAGTCAAGCTTGTTTCTCCTGGGTGCGCGCTTCCAAGGATATTTGGGCAGCCTCTGGAGCCACAGTGTCTTTGGTCACCAGAAGGTAGGTGATCTATAGATCTTTTTTTTTTTTTTCTTTTTTTTTTTTGCAGCTGTAGATGCCTTTTAGTATTGCCTTCTTGGCCTTCAAAGCCTTTGCTTTGGCTTCGGCTTTAGGAGGGGTAGAAGCTTCCTTCTCCACCTTCAGTGCCATCTTGTGAAAGGAAATTTTTTTTTCAAGTTGAAAAACAAACAAACCTTTATTGTCTAGAAATATATATATATATATATATATATATATATACACCCAGAAAAGATGCTATTCTCTCATTTCCCCATCTTCTTCCTCTTCTTCAACACCTCTGATATAAAGGGCATTATTACATCTTATTAAAACTTCACCCAGATGTCCAGACAATGCCCCATCTATGTATTCTTCTGTATTTGCAAGCTGCATGTTCATATAGCCATCTACAGACACTAGGTAGGCCTTGTATTCCATTCCCCACTTAAGTTTCACCATCACTGGCTTTCCTGTTAATCCACTGAGGAGATGTTTGGGATTGAGGGGTAAACTCATCGTAACTACGGGCGAATGCTGCAGGCTACTCGCCGCCAACCAAGCTGCAGCCTGTCCCTCGTGACTGCAGGAGGTACCGTGAAAGGCAATTCTTGATGGTAAATCTCTCTCTCTCTCTCCATCTCTCTCTGTGTCTCTCAGTATATACATATATACAAAGATATACATGTATCAAACATACACATATATACATATATGAATGTATGCTATTAGTTCTGTGTCTCTGTGTCTCTACCCCCGACTATACAGAAGGATTTTTCCCTAGAGGCTTCCAAGAGAAGGTAGCCCTGCAGACATCTTAATTTCAGACTCCTGATCTCCAGAACTGTGATAAAATTCATTTCCATTATTTTAAGCTATCCAGTTAATGGTAATTTCTTAGGCATCCTTAGAAATACAGCCATCTTGACCTTTGACTTTTCAAGGACCTAGGACAGATGACTTTTGGAAACTTTTCAGAAGCATGGACCTCCCTGTATTTTTAAGCCCAACATTATCAGTTAGGGACATGTCTAGGAGTTAAGGCAGCACAGTTTCATGGAAAGACCCACACAGATCTGGATTCAAATTCTGATTCTAGCACTTACCAGCTGGGTGGGCTCAAGAACCTTACTTCACCGCTTTGAAGCTATTTCCTCATCCAAGCAATGAGGAAAGCTCCTATTTTTCTGGGGTCCTACGAGGAATAGAGCAAATGTAGGTCAAGTGCTTGGCCCATAGTAGTGATGATAAATGGTGTCCTTTTTTTTTTCTTTGTCTTCCTCCTATTCATCCTCTTCCTCTTCCTCCTCCTCCTCTTCTTCTTTTCTCATATGAAAGCTCTGTAGACAATGTTTCCTTCTTTCTTTCTTTTTTTTTTTTTTTTGAGACAAAGTTGCACTTATTTGCCTGGGCTAGAGTGTGGTGGCATCAGCCCAGCTCACAGTAATCTCAAACTCCTGGGCTCAAGCAATCCTTCTGCCTCAGCTTCCTGAGTAGCTGGGGCTACAGGCCTGTGACACCACATCTGGCTAATTTTTTAATATATATTTTTAGTTGGCCAATTAATTTCTTTCTATTTTTATTACAGATGGGGTCTCGCTCTTGCTCAGGCTGCTTTCGAACTCATGACCTTGAGTGATCCTCCCACCTCGGCTTCCCAGAGTGCTAGGATTACAGGCATGAGCCACCATGCCCGGTCAACAATGTTTCTTCAAACTCCATCCAGCCTGGTGTCCTTTGACTCCGGCCAGAATGTCTTAATCCATTTCTCCCAGCATGTGTAGTGAGCACTTCATTCCTGCCTCAGTGTATTCCATCCCTTTATCTCACCTACCCAAATCCCCTTCCTCCCTAAAGGCCCAGCTCACACTCCCTTGCTCTGGGAAGTTTTCTGTCAACACCCAGCTCATGATCATCATTCCTTGCTCTGAACTCTTAAAGCACACATTCTCTGAATAATTCTTTTCACTCTTGATACTATCTTACATGGCTTATCTTGCTGTCTGTGCAGCAAGTTCCCAGCATGCCATTTGGCACTGTTTTGGAATGGAAATCATTTCCCATAGAAACAATGTTACTAATTGTAGTCCAGCTAGCAAAAAGCATGCTCAATAATCTATTGGGGCCGGGCACCCTGGCTCATGCCTGTAATCCTAGCACTCTGGGAGGCCGAGGTGGGAGGATTGCTTGAGCTCAGGAGTTCCAGACCAGCCTGAGCAAGAGCGAGACCCTGTCTCTACCAAAATTAGGAAGAAATTACTTGGAAAACTAAAAATATATAGAAAAAATTAGCCGGGCATGGTGGCACATGCCTGTAGTCCCAGCTACTCGGGAGGCTGAGGCAGGAGGATTGCTTGAGCCCAGGAGTTTGAGGTTGCTGTGAGCTGGGCTGACACCACGCCACTCTAGCCCAGGCAACAGAGCAAGACTCTGTCCGCAAAAAATAAATAAATAGGCAGGGCGCAGTGGCTCATGCCTGTAATCCTAGCACTCTGGGAGGCCGAGGCGGGCGGATTGCTCGAGGTCAGGAGTTCGAAACCAGCCTGAGCAAGAGCGAGACCCCGCCTCTACTATAAATAGAAAGAAATTAATTGGCCAACTAATATATATAGAAAAAATTAGCCGGGCATGGTGGCACATGCCTGTAGTCCCAGCTACTCGGGAGGCTGAGGCAGTAGGATCGCTGAGCCCCGGAGATTGAGGTTGCTGTGAGCCAGGCTGACACCACGGCACTCACTCTAGCCTGGGCAACAAAGTGAGACTCTGTCTCAAAAAAATAAAAAATAAATAAATAAATAATCTATTGGGCTTTGAGCTTCTGGATAAAGAAAACAGGCCCCACATACATTCCAAGTATTATAATTATAATCCATTATGCATAAGGAGAAGCAGTACAGAAGGTGGCCCTCCATTCTGGCTACACCATCTTGCATAGCTGCCTCCTGGGCTGAGTATCAGGACAGCCTCAGTTTCCTATCTGGTCCCAGCAAGGCTGCCTGTGCCTCAGGGCCATCAGGTTTGCTAGGAGCTTGACTCACTGCACTGGAAGGGGCTTCAGGGAGTCACTGGGTCCAGTCTTCTGCTGCCAGGCAGGTCCAGGACAAGGCCCCCCAGATGAATGGCTAAAGGTATCAACAGAGGAAGAAGCCACCAGCCCTGCTGGGCACCTGGCCCAGGGTTGACCCTCCAGATGGGCAAGAAGGGCTCCCCCAGTTCCCATAAGGGTTAGGGAGGGGGGCCTCCCTGCCCTTGTTTGTGGTCTGGAGGTGCTAGTGGCAGGCTGCAGAGGGACCCACACACATTAGGCCCAAGTGAGCCCCAGGCATCTTCCCTGGGACAGGGCTGCTATGTCAGTGGCCACCCAAGCCTGGGGGATCACTACCCTTTCAGTGGGGTGAGGCTCAGTGACTGGCCTCCTTCCTGGGGCAGCTCAGGGCTGAGGGCTCTCTCTTCCTCTGGCCCAGGGGGAGATAAGGAGCAGCTGAGCACCTTGCCTGGGCCTGGACAGAGTCTGGGTCAACTCACTTAACTCCTCAGTGCCTGCTACCCAATCCTCCAACTAGCAGGAGCCAGCATTACCTGGGGGCTAGTTAGAAATGCAGAATCTCAGCTCCCAGCCTTACACCTACTCAGGCAGAATCTGCATTTTAATGAGATCCCCAGGTGATTCAAATGCACATTAAAGTTTGACAAGCACTGGCTTCATTGTTAAAGATGGTGGAGGGAACCCTAGATTTGCAATCCTACTATTTAGGATGGCAATGGTGCATCCAAGCCTTGGTCAGAGCATACACATCCCAGAGGCAAGGCTGGAGTAAATAAAGGCCAAGTTTCCTGCAGCCCACACCACCTTCTATTCAATAAGGTGCCCAAGAGTTGGAGTTGCCAGCTGGGATGCAGGAGGGACTTCTGTCTGTAGTGTGTATCCCTAAACCAGGCACTGCCTCTATTTGTATTTTTATTTCTCTTGCTTCTGCAACTAGACAGTAGGGTTAAAAGGTCGGGAATAATATTGCATGTGTATGCGTGTATGTATAATAAGAGAAAAATGATGTGATGTATAGTAAATGAGCACAAGCTCTGAGGTAGGCCACACTAGCCTTCTGGGCCCAGCATTTCTACTAACTTAATATGTGAGCTTAGTGATGCCACATGGTCTCTCTGAGCCTGTTTCCTCATCTGTATTACGACTACAGGGAGCACCTACCTCCCAGGATTGTTGGAAGATGAAATGAGCCAACATGCAAAATATAGCTGGGAAAAAACAGGCAGTCAATCCATGGTCACTCCTTTTCCTTTGAATCTCCCCACCCCCACCCAGGTGCCCAGCTCCAAGCCAGCGCATTTCATGTGCTCAGTAAATACTTGCTAGCATTGATCACAATACTAGTCCTAAATAAAATGCATTTTAAAGAAATGACTTTTGCTGTTTTCTTACTGTTTCTCCAAATATCAAAGCTGAAGGAGCTCAGGAAGTTTCACCCCCAAAATATGACTCCTTAGTATTTTGCCCTTAGAGATTAACAGGCCCTGGGAAGAAGGAGGCTTTCCCTCTGTCTGCATATCTGCCAGACTGAGCCATCTGAAAAACAACTGACTTCCACTCCCTCCTTTTTATCTTAGTATATTCCAGGGGAAAAATGATCAAGAATGCAACCAGACCTGGCCCAAATGATTTTAAATATAATACTTGTCTCTCAGGTTAACTTAATTTGCAAAGGGAATCATTTACAAGTCAATCTGTTTCCCCCATCTATTCATTCTCCCTAGTAACCATTTATTGCCCCCAAACAGAATTACCTATACTGCTCATCTCCCTCTCCCCTCTAAAAAACAGGTATAAGATGTTGCCTGGATCCCATTGGGATAGTGGTTAATTAATGTGTGATTTCTCTTATTAATCTGTCTTAATTGTGAGTTGATCTTTTAGCCCCACCTCTTCAAAGCAAATCATCCTTGTTATGGAAACTTTTGGAAAACACAGTAAAGTATAATTGGATAATGAAAAATCCTTAAAAAGTGCTATAATACCACTACCCAGGAACATAACATATTGATGCTAATGTTTTGGAGTTTTTCCTTCCAGATTCGTGTGTATATATGAGAGAAAGAGAGAATGTGAACATGTAGGTCATAATAATTAGCTGTTATAACTATTGTTTTACATGAAAGCTTGGTCTCTGAAGAAAATGGGCCAGGTGGGGTTCCTTCCTTGCTGAGTGATGCGTGTAGGGGTTCTGGAAACCCAGGCCTTGAAACCAGCCAGGTTGAAACACATCCTTGGTTCCGTGGCTAGCCTCTGTTACTCAAATCTCCAAATGATGCATGCTGCCCAGCCATACTTTGAAAGACTATATGCAGAATAGTAAGTGGTGAAGTCAGAACACATTTCAGTTGGTGACCAGTCAAACACAATCTATGTTTCAAACCCAACAACATTTTTTTTTTAGGGAAATAATGAGGAATTGAAACGAGGGCTTAGGAGGCAAGTGCCTTTGAAACTTTAACTCTGGCTTTGTCTGCCACAAACCCTCTAAGCCCAGCACAGTTTCCACTTTAATTGGGAGAGAGAGAGGAGACACTTGAAATTGAG